TTTGACCAAAGAGTATGATGCTGTCTTTGCTGGTATTGGGACATTAAAGCCAAAGACTTTAGGGATCCCGGGTGAGGATTTGAAAGGTGTTGAGCATGTTATTCCCTTCTTAGAGTCGATCAATTGTCATGTCAGAAAGACTATTGGAAAGAGAGTCGCTGTAGTAGGTGCTGGGTTCTCCGCTATGGATGCCGTGAGAGTCTCAAGAAGACTTGGCAGTGAAGCCTTTATCGTCTACAGAAGAACTGTTTTGGAGATGCCCGCATCTTCCGATGAAATCGAAGAAGCAGAGGCTGAAGGTGTCAAGATGATGACCTTATGTGCACCTGTTCGAGTTGTTGGTGATGAGCATGGCCATGTCAGAGCTCTTGAATGTCAACGAATGGAACTCGGCGAGAAAGATGACAGTGGACGTGCTGCTCCACACCCCGTCCCGGGCAGTGAATTCCTCATCGAGTGTGATATGGTCGTTCAAGCTATTTCCCAAGCCGTCGATACAGAAGCTTCTGAAGGTGTTGAATTGGATCCAAAATGGAAGACCTTTAAAGTCAATGACAAGTTCGAAACAAGTGTGAAAGGCCTTTTCGCTTGTGGTGATTGTGTAACTGGACCAATGAGTATTGTTAATGCCGTTGGTGATGCTCACAGAGCTTCTGATGCCATCGATGCCTTCTTACAATCTGAGAAGAAAGAGACTCCATCTCAATAATTCCATTTTTGAAATTTAATTTGAAGTGTTCAAATTGTGTTATTCTTTTGTACTATATATTACTAGTAAATATTATATTTAATACTCTTAAATCGTTAAATAATAAAATAGTGGTATTTTAATTATAACGTTATGGTACAGAATAATAAACTATGATTATATTATAGTATTCACATATAATAATATTTACATATAATAATATTATAATATAATATTAATTATAATAATATTATAATAGTTTAATAATAAATATAAAATAATACGAGAATGAAGGAATGGAATTAATAGGACGTAAAACACTGCTCATGTGCGAGTTGCCCATCAGGCATTAATACAAATGCTTGACCGCCAGCTACTCGATGTCTGCATTTACAACAAACAGTTCTTCGATCGACGAGTTCATACCTTCGAGTAGCATTACTCATGACTGTTTTGACTGCTTCGAAGTACATTGAGTCGTAGAAGTAACGTCTTGCTGTTGAATAAATAGCGGGCAACAAGAAATTGAGATCCCCGAGATTTTCAACGCCGTCGAGCATTTTGGAGAACAAACAGCCTTCGACTTCGATCTTCTCGTCCCACTCATTCAAGTCGATGCCAAGCCACTCGAACTCCTTTTGAATGAATTTTAAAGGAATGATTGGATAAAACCTTCCGAAGAGGCGAAGAGCGAAACTGACGGGGAATGGATTCTCAAATTCGGTGTTTCTTTCGAGTAAGACGTGGATTAAGAACGCAAGTAACGGCGATGTGTTTGTATTCAAATTGTTCACTTGACAGACACAGTGCATCACAACCTCAGCACCAACATGTGCCGGATGCATCTTATTGAAAGGTCTATAACACTGTCTAATGAGTCGAATTGACTTCGCAATAGATTCATTACTCCCATCAAATGTATAATTCTCATCAACTCCTTTTAAATAGTCGTCTAACGCTTTAAACGTGTCGTCTACAAACGTCGCAGAGTAGTTCTGTGTCATCACTTGATAATACTCTAACAGCCCTTTGTACTTCTCTTCATGTCGAATTCGACATCTTAATCGCCATGGAAGTGTATTAAAGTACGTCCCTATGTGCTTCTGAAGAACTGTGTTGTTCTGCATCATCTCCATCAACTTCTCCGCTGCTGAGACTTCATCCTTCTCATCGCCAATCACTTGCAAATATTTCAAATAACAGTCCGTCAGTAATGTCCCTTCTTGCTTACTCTTCTTTTCTAAGTAACAGATCACCCCTTCTAAAATGTTTTTAATGTCTTCTTTACTCTTGTAGTTCTCTATCTCTTGCCGAATCGACTCTTCATCCCCAGCTATCGGATTCTCCTTCGGATCTGCTAAATCCCACACAAATCTCGCCATCTTCCCTGGCGCTTGCGACATCACAACTTCTTGATGGATCTTCTGATATTCATTCTTGAAGTCATCCAACGAGAAGATTAACAGCGCAATTTCAGCAAACAAGTTGTTCACGGATTTTAACATGTCATACGTCTTTTTGAGGACTTCTTGTGTCGCTTGGGAATACAAAACTATACACACAGACTCTTCAGTAACACTTTGTGAGATCAAATTTTGGTTACTCAATCCGCTTAAATAGTCAACTAATGCTCGTAGATATCCTCTGTAGATCTCTTTCAATGTATTCGAGTCCTTCTTCAACTCATTCACTATATTCACCATCACTTCTAACACATGCTTCTTCCGACTATTCGGTTCACTCGTGTCTCGTACTACTCCAACTACACACCGCACTTTATAGAACTTCGCAGGTATATCCTTTTCTTTCACATCTTTGACACACTCCGGACTACTCTCTACAACGTCTACAAACCGATTCAAATACTCTTCCTCTACATATGCTCCACTCTTCTCCGCAAGTCGTAAATGTTCAAGTACCTTCGATACATACAGACTCACATATCGCGCTTTGTTCGTCTCTGAAAGTCCCATTTTGTAGATGACAAAGAGGACAGCCAGACGGCTCCGCATCTCCGCAATTTCGCCGTCGTTCATGTCAGAGAACTCCCAGCTTGCAATGCCGTTGCAGACGTCTTCAACAGTGATGACTTCACTCTTAAAGATCAATGAGAGTTCTTTCTGGACCTTTCCATTGAAGCCCTCTTTCTTATAATACTCGCGAATCTTTTCGTTGATCAAGACATTCACTTTCGCCATAATGTTCTTCGCGTCGCTTTTGTTCTCAAGTAGTCGAATGACTGCCATTCTCTTCTCGTTATATGTGATGTTCTTAATTTCAAAAATGTTATTCAAATGGTTCTGTGCCACGTAGTATTCTATTAATAGAATTCGATTTTGGTCGGTGGGCTCTTTCAGCATTTCTAAGATGACATTTCGATTCAAGAACGTCGTTTCCTTCATCAACGACACCATAGCCTTCGAGTGTGGTGCACTATAATATGATATCACTACTATAGCTGTAAAGAACATTTCATTCTCGTCTTCATTCTCTTTATCCATTTTACTCGTCCCCACTATTTGACTCCTCATCGCCATTAAACATGAGATCACCGTCTGAATGATTTCATCTTTCGTGTGTTCCGCTGTCGTCTCAATTTTTAATGGTACCTTCTTCTTCCGACTCTTCTCAACAGCTTCACTCTCATTCTGTAAAACACTCTCTATCATGTCTTGAAGCTTTTTCATCAACTTCTCTGGAAACGTCTTCAGCATATCTTTCTTCCAGTCGTTCTTAGTAGTATTAAACCAATGTAAGAACCTCTCATACAAGTCTGGGAAGAAGTCTTGGAAGATAAATAAGACCAAAAACACCACCAAATTCTTCGCGGAGACATTCCCCATCTTCAAATTGTTGATGATTTGCACAACATTTTGAACATTTCGAGATTCGTCATTCTTATAGAAGTCTACTATATTCTTTAACGCCCATAACGTGTACGCTGCTGATTTGTATTGTTCGGAATTCCCCTTCGAGTCCGCGTTGTTCCCTAACAACGTAATAAAGTCAATCGCACTTTTATAGAACCCATTTTGGACGGCACTTTCATACCAACTTGGGTTCGGCGAAAAGTAAATGAGTTGTTTAAGTGTCGTATTAATGAACACAGGAACGTCCTCATGCATATAACTTTGCTTGAAATATTCATTTCTTGAAAAGTCGTCCGACTTCTCTGACGCCTGTGTGAGGGGTTCCAGTCTATAACACACATAGAATTTGTTTTGAGCAAATTCTTGCATGAAAAAGATGAACGGGGACATCTTCGATATATTAATGATGGGGTATTCATTTAATATCGTATTAATAGTATTTTCTTCTATACATTAGTTCTCTCAAGTGTATTATTAATTAATTAATAATTAACTATAAATTAACTATTAACAAACCTATTAAATACACATCATTGCCGACATGTGTTAACACTTGGGCCAATTGTAAAGGGAGGAATCGAGGTTTTGACTTGAATGGATTAATGTTCTTCTCTGCGACAACTTCAGATTGCCCGAAGAATCGAATGATTTGAATTTTCGAGGGGAAGATGATAGCCAAATTTTGATTAACAAAAGTACATCCAACGATTCGTTCATTTGAATTCCAAACTTTTGTCTCTTTATAAAAGATCCCATCCGTCTTTGATTCAATTAAAGTGATTCCGGACTTCTTCTTGGTATCCACTGCAGCTATAAATAATATCTTCCCTTTCAAAAAGGTCGAAAAGCACTCGTAATTCCCAACATTTTTGATGTTCTTCGTTTCTACCCGTTTGAACACTTCAGCCGCCGCTCTCTTCGTCAAGTCGACTTGAAACGATTCCAATTTCTTATCGACTAAACAAATTAATAAATGGTTCTGATGATTATACCACATCTGATCAACACTCCCAGAAATGTGAATTTGATGAAGAACTACTAATTTGTTCCCTTCGATTTTAACTGCAGTCATTAACCCCTTTTTCCCAAATAAAAGAATGTCATCTTGTAATTGACATGAACTCGTGGACTGTCCTAATGTAATGATCGTGTCCGCTGGATTCTCTATCCGCTTCACTATTATCGGGTCATTCCGTTCCATGTCACTATCGCTCTTTTTGAGTTCTTCAGTCGTGTTTTCTTTCTTTGAAATGGTTCTTTTTTTATTATTCTTTTACTATTATATTTTACTAATAAAAAAAATTTCTGCTTATTAAAAAAATTTTTTTTTTTTGTATTTCTTTTTTTAAGTATATATTATAATAAAATAACTAACAAAATAAACTAAACAATCTTTTAGAATGAAAAAAAAGTTGATTGTTGTAAATAAAGAATAATTCAGAAATTAAAAAAAACACAAATTATCAAATGAAAAAATCTGGTGGAAACTAGATATATATAATAAAACTATTATATATAATAGTTATAGAATTATCTAAAGATCGAGGAGGCAGTTGCCAAAAAACGAAAAATGTTTCCACGTTTTTTTTTAATTTGTACAATTCCATTAAAAAAACAGAAAGAGAGAGAGAAAAATGAAATTATCTTCAATCCAACCGGAAAAAAAACAAAAAAAAAGAAAAGATCTCCAAGAAAGGAAGTTGAAGTTTTTTCTAGAATTAAATAGTAAAAAGAACCAAACTTAATAGTATTTCTTTCAAAGTGATATTCAAGAAAAAAGGAAACAACTCAAAATCACAAACATAATCTCAACGGGCGGATGGAACGCTTAATAACTTTATCACTCTCCATCCATTACATAACAATTTTTGGTGAAGAGGTCTACATCAATTTCGACAATGGGCTCTCCAAGTTTGTTTAACTAAATTTAATACAATTTCTTGTCACATTTCAACTTCATTTGGTACAACTCTTCTCTATCACCGTTATAGTTATTTAATTAAATTAATAATTGAGTAACAGTAATTAATAATAGTACCATAACGACAAAATAATAGTAAAGTAATAGTAAAATGTACTAAAGAATAGGAAAATGGTATGGAATGAAAACCACGTGTGGACCGTCACATTATCAATCCATCCCAGAACAACTCGTTGGTGGTATTCTATATCAAATCATTCACAAACGACTCGCGTCGAGGACCTCGAGCTCCCACGAGAGTATGACTTCGACACTAAAGATAAATATTTCCAAATCGTTGATCATTGGGATGATTACTATACCGTCGTGACACCAATCAATTCGTCAAATTTGATCATTTCAAAAGCAATGAACTCGTCACTTATTAAGCGCTATTTAATCCCAAGATACACCCCTAATTTGGTCAGAAATAAATCACCACACAACAACTTCGAGCCAAAACCTTCGACTAAGTACAACGGTTGCACTTGGGGATTCTTCGACGACTCTGCTCTCCTGGAGAAGAAGACAAAAACACTCACTGTTTATTCTGTGCTTCGAGGCGATTGAATTCAATTGGTAGGGTCAAGCGGTACAGTTGAAACATTGACAACATGAGGTGTTTCATTTCGCTCTTATAAACTTTGGCGATGAGGGGATGTTAAGCCGACATTTTGTAAATTAATTGATACATTTGTTACTGCAAATACAACTTTTTTTGAAAGTGGGCACAAGTTGATGCTTTTTTGCCGTCTTACTCTGAGAAATATCACAAGCATTTTCAAAAACAGTTAATAGTGGCTAACACTTGCTTGTTGGAATTGACAAAAATATCTGAATTGTTATTTTTGATAGAAACCAATTGTTTGGACTTATCAAATATCTCGCTAAAAAATCCAAAACTCGTTTTATAGCTTGTAATAGTACCTTAATAATATAAATTAGTTTGTGGGTTTGAACAACAAGTCAATTTGATGTTCGTACTTCTCAATCAAGGATTGTCTTTTCTCGTCGTCAATATCTCCGATTGGCTCTCCTTCTAATAAAACAATGAACCGCTTGATTTTACTGCACCTTGGGAGTGACGCGTTGATTTTTTCAATTTGTAGTTTGACGAAATTGCCGTAAAACGGATCCTTCCCAATGCATTCTTTCAAAGGGGCTTTTTCTTTGAGCTCTTTAACAACCTCCTGTGGGTTTGTGAATATAAGCGCTCCTACATACTTCTGGTTCTTTCCAACAACCAGCGCATTTGTGACGGTTGTGATGGTTTTGAGACGCTCTTCGATCGGAATCGGGTACGTGTACTCTCCTGTGATGGCAATGATGAGTGGCGTTGTTGGCTTTTCTGTAACCAAAAAGTCGCCATTTTTCTCGTTCTGAAAATGCCCAGTAAACCCCGTGACCACACTCGTTTCCGTGAAATTGCCGTTCAGACTGTGATCGGTGTATCCACACGCAACAGTTGGTCCTCTCACAACAACTTTCCCCTCATCAATCTCGACTTTAACTTCCTCGTTGATTGGAGTGCCAAGTGTGTTTGGTAGAAAAGTGTTAAATCTGTTGATGGTGCAGAACCCCGTTGTCTCTGGAAGGCACAGCCCATCATACACACATATCCCACAACCACACAATGAGTTCATCAAGTCCGAACTCAATGGAGAAACACAATTCAAAAAGAGTCTTGTTCTGCTCAACCCAATTTTCCTGAGCTTCTTTCTCAGTATGTGCATGGCTAGACCATACCCCCTCTGTTTGTGGCCCCCTGTCTGGGCGTTTGAAATCCCCGAAATTGCGTTCTTCATTGCCCAATCATTGATTCCTCCTTTCTTTGGTTGAATTTTATCAATGATTTTCTCGTAAACTCTCGGCACGCCCAGGAATATAGTCGGTCTTATACGAAGACACAAGAAAAAGAACGGGTTCGCATTTTTTTTCAACATCTCTGGTGTTGAAATGAAAACGTGGAATCTGAACAAGAGCGCCAAATACAAGGACATGATTCGTTCGAAGAAAAAACTGTTCAAAAACGATGAGACGTACTTCTCTTTCTCCTGAAAGTTGAAGATGTTGTTCATGTAGCAGCACTCCGAGATGATATTGTTGTGCGTCCAGATGACCCCTTTGAGTCCCCCCACTTCACTTGGGACAAACGCGACTTCACAAATATCTTCTGGCTTTGTGCTTTCAATGACAGTCTCAATCTCCGTCTCTTTTTCCTGTTTTACAGCCGCGTTCTCCTCTTTGATTCTGACCCAGTTGAGGTACGGAATAATCTTTTCGTTTGACGTCATCTTTGCTCCCACCAGTATCATTACAAGTGGGATTTCTTTGTTGATCTCCTCAAATTTGTTTTTTTGGTGGTAGTCGAAGAAACACGCAATGACCTTACTCTCCTCGATGATCGTTTTGATATCCTCTTTTGGTGTTCGTGGCGAGACAAAAAGCGGAATTATCCCACACAAGAAGCACCCATAAGCAATTTCAAACACCTCATGACAGTTGTTCATACACAACAGTACCGCTTTCTCGTCGAGTGTTGGGTGTTTGTGTTTGATATCAATGAGACAGTACGCACATTGGAACGCCGCTTCTACAAGTCCTTGCCACGTGGTGGTGGTTTTTCTGTCATCTTTAAGAGTGATTGCAGGAGTTTTGATGAACTGGTTGCACATCAATGCCTCGACGATCGTTTTGGGGAATTTCTCGAAGAGGTGTATAGGCTTCGACTCGATGTGTTCCAAATGGATCCTGATGCTTTTTTCCTCTTGAATTTTGTCTATAATCCCGTCCATACTTTCTACTTGGAATTCTGATGTTTTATACAGCCCAAATTTCGTTTTGTTCCATCATTTTCAATCTGATGATAACTTGAGTTTTTTTTTTAAATTAAATTTATTATATTTTTTTATTATTAATAATTAATACAATTTATTATTAATTTATAGTATTATAATCCATTGTTTTATTATACTTCAACTGAATAAAAAAGTGATTTGATTATTATAGATTGTTAAAAAAAATAAACCATATATTAATATTATAAAATATCATTATTTATTATAAAATTATTATTAATAAATTATATAAATGAGTATTATATTAAATAATATTATATTTAATAATATATATTAAACAAATGATAAAATTCAAATAACAAAACCAACGCACACACAAATCGACAGACTTACATCGTTTTAATTTTCTTTCCAGTTATTTCAACACTAATTTCGTTCAACATACATTTAAGGTTCTCCATCCCGAAGATGACGCCATCTTCCATCTTACACTCTTCTTTATCCAAACACCACGTATGTGCGAAGTCGATGAACCTCAAGTCGAATTTCTTTTCCTCGTCCTTCGCGTCTGCGTCATAGACGAACAAAGTTGACGCTCCGAAGATTCTGAACTTGTCCATTCTCATGAGTTCAATGATTTTGTCCAACCGACTCACAAAGTACGGTAACGCAGCAACTCGATATTTCACTCCATCAAACAAAAAGAGTTTAATATACCTTTTCAACGCGTCTCGTGTTGTTATTTCGTTCAAAGACAAGTGTCGATTATAGCTAAGGGTTTGGTCTCCGACAACTCTTTTACATCCGCAGAATCGGACTCCCAGTAAATTAGTCGTCGACGTCTCATCTGTTTTTAACCGCTTTTGGAGTTTATATGAAGGAATCTCGGGGTGCCAACTATGAATACCGACCTTTAAATCTAACACAAAGGGGCGCTTATAGTTAAAAGTCACATTCTTCATCCGGATATATTCCTGCATGCCATGTCCCAAGTCATGATTCTCAAAGCCATAGAACTCGGGGGTGATTTTCGAAGACACCCATTCGTTGTAGTTGTGCAAACGTTTATAGAACGAGTGTTCCTATACATTAATAATTAATTATTAATAAGATTTAATAAATGTATTTAAAAACTATTTATAATAGAATATTTACTATATTTTTATAGTTCTTGGTGTTTTTTAAAAAAAGTGTTCTTTGTACCTTTTATCGTTCACTTTAATAGGAAAGTGATGAAGAATTTGACTTGTTCGAACAGAGGAACAAAGATCAATTAGATTATAACAAACGCGTGAAGCAAATGTGGCTTTGAGTAAACAATCGCCACTTGGGATGAGTAAGTGAGCATCGTTACGTCCACCGGCTTGAAGAAATTCTTTGTGATTGGGAGAAACGGTTTTGTTGGTATTTGACTTTTCCTTTCGGTCTACTTTATCCATCTGTTGTTTCTAGTCTCAAATTTTTTCTTTTTATATTGATTTTTAGATGACGTAGGCATGAGTCGATGCAGTTTTCTATTTCTATTTTGATACCCGTTCTGTTTTTTTTTTGAGGTTGTTCCGGTTTTTGGGTCTCCCTTTTCAAGATGTGGATTCTTTATATCTCAAAATTGAAAATATCTTAGGGATAATTGATGGATTGTAAGGATAATTTTGAATAAATTTTAAAAACAGAGATGTTCAACAATTTATTGTCATTTTTTTATTCATATCTTTGGTGATTCATAAAGTTTGTAGTTTTTGTTGAAAAATTCATTGGATATTACAAATAGAGGTTAACTTTATTTTTAACAAATCCAGGTATTTATAATATTCTGTTAAAAAATAAAAGAGGGTTTCAAACCCTTCTCTATTAATAAACATCCACTTTTAATAACAAGAAAAATATTAGGGATTTTTTTCTTATGATAGATGTTTATAAGAGCAAAGTGAATGAAACAAGAATGATTCGACGCCATAACTTTCTTACGATTTAATTCTTTTACTGTTTTCCCGAAAAATAGATTTAAACGATTGTAATATATTATGAGTTTAAGATTTGTGTAGTTTGGGAACAATAAAAAAAGCGAAAACACAAAGTTCCTAATACTTTGGGCAATTAGGAATTTTGAGCTTATGTAGGCCCAAATGGTATTGGATATTTTTATTTTGTATTTTTTTGAAAACATGTCCACTAGCATTTAAGGCTATAAAATACCAATAGTATTTATCTTATAATGTTATGATTACCAAAAACAATAGTGTGCTTATATAAACTCTTACTAATGAGGAATTACCTTTGCGACATAAGTATAGATTTGTTCGAAGTTACTACAAACAAATCTATTATTGTTATTAAAATGGATTTGATTATAACGAAATATAGTTAAATAATAGTATATAATTAGAGTAATAAAATAAAAATTTAATTAATGAAAACTAATAAATTGTTATTTATGAAACCAACTATTTTTAATAAATATATTTAACTAGAATGAAACAAAAACTAGCAAACTAAAAAAACTTAAAAATATAAGACGAATGATAATATTTTTCGTTATGTTTTTGTTTATAGTTGTTCAAGGAGACAAATTTTCGTTCTCAGCACAAAAAACAAAACGTACATTTGTTCAACTTAATAAGTATGTATTTGGTGGCGATGGTGATGTTGTAGTATCTATAACAAAAGTTTGTTCAAAACGAATAATTAAATCTTGAAAATGTTAAAAACCAGAAAGACACAACGAGAAACTCAAAAACGAAATACACAGGTATGTATCTCTCTCCAAAATTACTTTCATATTTTCAAATTTGTAATTTAAATCAATCGGATCATCTAATAAATACTCAATATCATTACTTTCCATTACAAACATCGACAAAAACACAACAAATAAAAGCCGGAATTTTTTACCTTTTTTATATTTCTTGTCATATGGAAGAGTTTCATAATTTTGAAGTTCAAATAACTGAATCGTACAAAATTCACAACAACACTCACTATCTTTCTTATGACGTTTTTAAAGTACTTGACATTATCACTGATATACAATTTCTATTTTTTGGAATTATTTTTCTTGCTATTTTTCTTTTTGTTAAACATTTTAAAACGCTCAATTCGTCAAACACTTTAGTTCTTGCGTTCTTCTTATTTGAAGTCTTTTCGTTTTCTTTTCAGTCTTTTGTATTACGAAAAGTTGATACGTTTGGGGAGACACAATGGAAGGTGTTTTTGTACATAACGAAAATTATTGAAACACTCTTCTTTTACATCACAACAATTTTGGTCGGCAGTGGCTGGAACAAAACTATTCCCTTTGACTTCACCCAACGAAAGATTTTACTTTTCTTTATTAATATTCAAATCATTTCAAACACTATTTCAATCATTGCCAACGAAAACGAAATGTATCGAAACCAATTGATTACCATTTTAAGGGCAATTGATCTTTTCTGTTCTTGTGCGGTGTTATTTCCGCTTCTCAAAAATATCAGAGTTCTCCAACATAGTTCTCAAAACGACACAAAAACTACAAAAATGTATACCACATTTGTCTTGTGTTATTTAGTTTTGTTAATTATCTCAAACTTAAAGAATCTTTTAAGCTTTCTTATTGATAAAACCAATTCACTCAAACTCATTATTTGCTGCCGAACTGTAGATTTCCTCCTGTTCCCATTGTATTCCATATATATGCTTCTTCTATTTAGACCAACGCCAAAACTAAAATTTTTACAAAACTCTCCAAATGGTCTTAGTGTATATTCCAAAGATGAAGTTTATGAAGAAGACCCTCAAATCGTTGTGAATTGATTTTAAATTTGATTGACTTTTTACAATTTTTATTATTTCTCTTTATAACGGACGTTTTTTGGTATATATATAAATAAAAGACCGTTATAAATACGACTATTTCTCGAAAAACGAAGAACTTTAAAAATGTATTTGAAAGGATGTATCAGTGCAAAAAGTGTAAAACAGAGATATTTTTAAATGAACATACCATCTCACAGAATCCATTAAGTTTTTCCGATTGTGTTAATACAAATATAAAAGAGGGACATCGTGCGGCATTACCAGTCCTTGAGATACAATGTAAGATGTGTCACAGTGTTGTGGGTATTGTCCACACAAACCCTATGCTATTTTGTGCAGACGAAGATGCTGTTGTACTCCCAACAGCACTTCCAACTAATAATTTTGAAGTAAAAGATGTGAAAGAAGAACCAATGGAATGTGGCTCAAAGTCACAACACACCTCAAATGTCGTGACTGCAGTCCTTTATTTCGGAAGTATTTTCGTTCCAGTCGTCACTGCTCTTCTCGCTGCAAATTGATTGTTTTTGTCTTGTTCTCAAATATTCGACTTTTTCAACTTTTTTGTCAAAAATTGATTTTTTCAATTTTTTATTTCGATTTTTTCAATTTTTGTTGAACAAAAATAAAAACCATTTTTATAGAATTGAAATATTATATAAATTCTAGTAAATTAAATAGTAAAATGATCTATAAAATAAACTATATAAAGCCTATATAAGTCAAGCCTCAAAACTTCAAAAGCAGATGTCGAAAGGCAATTACCAAGTTGTACGGTTTAAACACGAGAAGTTAGTTTTTGAAGCCTTATTTAAGCCTGGCTGTGCTTTAAAAGTCCGAGAAGGAAAGTTGAGTCTTTCTAATGCGACATTTTCGGATGAGATCTATATGGCGCCCCACCAGAAGGGAACCCTATCGAAACCTACGGACCTTGCAAAGGCCTTTCCGGGCTTAAAGGGAACGGAAGCGATACTTCAGTTCATGGCGGAGAAAGGTGAAATCCAATTTACAACAGAAGAACGCAAACAACAGACTGAAGAGAAGAAGAAGCGACTTATTGAGTACGTCCACATGTACTACGTTGACCCAACAACAGACAAACCCCATCCCGTTGTACGTATTAATAACGCGTTTGAAGCTATGCACCTTGCAATTGACCCGGACGCGCCAATGGAAAAGGAGATCAAAGAAATTGAAAAGAAGATCAATGCGGTCTTACCCGTGAAGAGAGTTGAGATGGAAATAGTGGTTACCATCCCAGAAAATTATTGTAAAGTGGCCGACCCAGTCTTAAAAAAGTATGGGAAAGTGGCCGGAATGAATGAGGGCGGAAGTGATCGTGTCTATCGAGTCACAATCGTCCCTGGTGACTTCGACACAATCAACAAGGAACTCGCTAAAGTGACTCGATCAAATTACCAAATCGACACCCCAGACGGTCACAAAGTCCAGAAGGATAGCAAGAAGAGTGGGAAGAAGAAATAGATGGTAAATGAATGGCTCTTTTGAATATGAAAGACAAATTCTAGTTTAAAGTTTAAATTTACTATAAATATAGTATCATATTTGATTCTAAATAATAATTATAAACAATTAGTTAAGTGTATATCAATGTATTTATCTATTATAGTTTCTCTAACTTTTCAACAACATCCTCGATGGGCGGTCGGTCTGCAGGTTGTTGTTTCCAACACTCTGTGATAATCTCAAATTGGTTATCAGTGACAAAATCTGGCTTTTGTCGTCGTTTTCCAGAGGCCACAAAATTGACTATATTCCACGAGTATTTGAATTCATTTTTTGGGTACGCAACACCCCAAATAAAGCATTCATACATTGTGATGGCAAAAGAATAGATATCTGCAGGTCTTTTGTACTTCATTGAGTTGAGTGTTTCAGGCGCCATATATTTTGGTGTTCCAATCCCTTTAGTGAAAGTCATGTTAGTCAATAATAAATTGACGTTTCGACTTGAACCAAAATCAGTCAATTTAGCATTTGCTTTTACGTTCAAATCAAATGAAAAGATTAGAATGTTGTCTGGTTTGATGTCTCTGTGTAAGATCCCATTTTCATGTAAATAGAATATGGCTTTAGATGCGTCTAACATGTATTTAATACGTAAGTTCATCTCAATTTCTTCACTCTTTTTGTGATTCATTAAGTCTTGTAAACTTCCAAAGTCTGCAAATTCAGTGACAAGACATATTCTCTTTGGCACAAATACTGCACCATAGAAATGGACGATATAATCACTTCTGAACTTTTCTAGCATATTCACTTCTTTTTCAAATTCTTCAATTTGTTGTTTTGTACATCCTTCATTCTTCATTTTTTTAATAGCAACAATATTCTTTCTATAAGTCCCTTTGTAGACAACTCCAAATGATCCTTCGCCAATTTTCTTTTCTTCTGCAACTTCTTCATAATCAAGTCGTGATGAAATGACTGTTTGAAATCGTATTGGAATTTCATTCATCTCAGGAGTACCTTTTTTCATGTTAACGGATACTAAAACCAATTTGTCTGTTACAGTACATGTACAAAGTGGAGTCACAAAAATTTCAAATTCAGCTGCTTTACCAGATGGAATTACAAATAACTCAGGTGTGGTTCGAATGGTGTATTTGTCACTCTTCTCTTTGAAACTGAATTGTACTTTAATGGCAGTTTTATCACCATTTCCAATACATATCAATTCGCGACTTTCTTCTGTGACTGGAATCTCAATTTTGTCGTCTCCTAAAAGTTCAATTTGGTGCTTATTTACCATAACACGAGAAGTGCCGAGTTTCATAAAACTGATGTTTGATTTGTCCATATCAAAGATAGCTGTTTTCTTGCGCTGTTCTTCAAGTTTCATATATTGCATAATATACTTCACAGAGAAACAAATGATGAGAGTAATTATAATCACTACTATAATGACAAAAAGTACCCATATTAATATAAACCACCAAACTGCATGTGTATCACAATGATCTCCATCTTCACTTGGAATGTACCAAAAAGAACATTTGGAGCATTTGGAATTATGTTCTTTTTTACAATGTTCAATTGTTGAAAATAAAACACAAGACTGTCCTGATAAAATGTAACTGGATACACATGAAGTGCATTGACCACTGTGTGTATTACAATTTACACAAAAAGGTGTTATTGAGTCACAGGAAGTACAAAATTGTTTGTCAACGAAAAAGCCATCATTACACCTGTCACACCCATATTGCAATACCTTCTTACAATTGGCATTTTCTGAATAAGGAATACACTTTGTCGAATTAGTTAACAAGAAATACTCTGATGCACATTTTAAACACGTTGAATGGGTGTTACAAAATTCACAATTGGAAATACATGGTTTACAAATGACATTATCTCTATAATACCCATCCATACATACGGCACAGCCACTTGAAGATGTTCCTGGAATTGCATTTTTACAGTTTTTAGTTATTTCTTTTGAATCAAGACATATACTTGTGTTTTCTTTAAAAGCATACCCACCTTTACACAATTTACAAACCAAAGTCGAATCATTTTGTGTAGCAGATGCGTCATCCAATTTAAAAGAGAGTGTACTCGATACACTTTCTAAAGAACAAACACTACAATTATTGCCACAACTCATACACGTCTTTTGGCTGTTTAAATAAAACCCATTTGGACAACTTAAACAGAAGTTGTTTGTTGTACTAATAATTTCACAATTCTTATTGATAGTAGAGTGACACTCGCCGTCGTACAAATAACTATTTTCTGAACATTCTACACATTTATTAAATTCACATTTTGTACAATTCACACTTTTATCACATAACACACATTTAGCACCATTAAAATATTGTGTGTTCAATTGAGTTTGACATCTGACACACATACCATTTTCAATAATCTCACACCCACTGTTTAATGTACAATAACCATTTGAATCTAAAACACCTTTTGTGCATTTTGAACATCTTTTTGAATTACATGTTTCACAATTTTCACCATACGTTTCTGAACATTTAGTACACTTTGTTTCTTTATTTTGAATTATATTCACGTAATACCCCTTTTCACATGTTACGAAATCTTGTGAATATAAAGTGCCTTCTTTGTATGGTATACATTTCCCGTTTTCTAAATAATATTTGGTGTTACATATAACACACCTCATGCCAGTTTCAACACATACATCACAATTATTATCGATACACTTTTCACAACTCGTTACAGTAGAGTAATATCCACTATGACATAATATTGTATAATTCAATGAGAATAGTTTAGTGTTAGTGTTGTCATACGTTTCACATTCCCTATTTTTCAAATAATAACCATTTTCACATTCAATACATGTAAATGAATTTTGTAAGGTATTTGACACGCACCGATTACAATTGGAACCACAACTGTTACAAGAATATATCGAATTGCCATATCCATTTTCACAATCTTCGCACCCAAAATTTTTGTTCGATTTTTTACAATTTGAAACAGAAGACAAATCATAACATGTATTTCCAAATAATTTCCCGGTTTTGCATTGAATGCACTTTTTATTTTTGTTAAAATAAAACGCGTCACACATTCCATTGTTTTCAATGTAAATTTGTGTATCGCTTGATTCTGTAATTCCCAATTTTTGTGTTATAACAACACAATCTCCACTCGCTGTAATTTTAAAAGAAGTACTTGTATCATTTATCGATATAACATTTTTATTGGTATTTGTGAATATAGCTACATAATTACTTTTTTCACTTCTCAAAACAAAAGTTCCAACTGGTGTGTTTATTGTTGAAGAAGCCATCAAAATAATTTCATCAACACTTTTAGTCATTTTTAGTATTGCTCCACTCGACGTCACATAAATCGAACTTTTCACACCTTCATTGTTTTTACTTGGAGGGCAGCTGTAATCAACTAAAGAAGGAAAATTCCTTTGATAGAATACATTTGAGTAGTAACATACATGTTCTCCACATCCATATTTTTGGCAATCTGAATATTGCGAATTTCCCATGAAAATTACTTGTCCGTCGCATTTCAGATTCTTATTAATAACTGTTCTATTATAAGTGAACATGACAGGATACACATAATTCAATACATCATTATAATCACTTACATCAACACTGAGTTGCATTTGACTTGGTTTGGTAATAAAAAGTGGAGTTCCTTTTGCGCTAATTTGATTAGTGGATATGATTTCTTTAATATTGAAATTGTTTACTGTGTCTTCAACAACAGATGTTACTGTATCTTTTGCAATTCTTAATGAATCAATTGTAAACTGTTTATTTATGAAATGAACTTCAGCAAAAAGAGCACATTCAAAATGTTGT